ACTCAAAATCATCCAGATCATATGTACACCAGCAAAGTTATTAGCACACTAAAGATAGCCAATGCAATTAAAGGTATTGATTAAAAATTACTTGAAAATAAATATTATGCAATAAATAATTAAAATATAAAATATATTTCTATTTTCAAATAAGAATTGTCATCAGCAAGTACACCTATTGAGTCGGTTGATATTCCTACCGGGTAAGTAATACAATGTTAAATTTGCTTATAAACTTACAAATTTATTATTCACTTATTTTAATTTTAGATATTGAATAATTTATTTAGCGGTATAAAATTTTTTTAAGTACTATTAAAGATATTTTTTAAAATTAATAATTAATTTAATATTGTATTTAAAATTTTAGATATATGCAAAAATTTTTATTACTTGATAACAAATAAAATTTATAAAATATTATGAACTTGAACTCATTTAATATATAAGTGAATAATATTTTTTATTTCTAATTTAGCAAAATAAATATTCATAAATATTATAAAACAAACGCTTCAATAAATCCTTGAGCCTTGTTTGTTATCTTAATAATGAATTTTTCAGAGACTAATTAAATCAAGCAAAGCTTATAATTTTATTTGCTTAATAATATAATTATATGATTAATGTGGATTTCTTAACGAAGTCAAGATAGTCAGAATAAAGACTTTTGTCTTCATTCATCTACAAACAACTTGATATAATATTTAAATAATAATAAGAAATTTGAGCTCTAATAGATATTTTGACAAATACAAATAAGCTTATCTCAAAATTCAGTGATCGAATTTGAGTTATTCAAATCATTCAACTTTTGCATTATGTAAAATTAATGGGGAAAAAATTGCTTGGAGTCTGGAAATAAGTTTTAATACTGTAGCAGTTGATTCCTCTCAGATTTTATTTGATCTTTAGCTGCGAGATATCTCAATTTGCCAGCATACCTCCCTACATCAAATATCTTTATATGCATCAATAACTAATTTATTATTAAGTAGTCACTGATTTGATTTATTACTAGTGGTTTTTTTTATATATAAATAAATTAATTATGCGACTATTAAAAAATTTAATAAGAAATCAAATATTTAATTTTATAATTATGAAACTTTCAATTCAAGCTATAAAAATACAGTAAAATGTTAAACGTTCAATATTTTCATGATTTCAAATTTTTCAAATATTTAACTACTAAAATTTTAATATAAATCTATAAACGCTTAATATTTAATGTTTTCAAATCGAAATATTTACCACAATATTCTACGAAATTTTTAAAGTCTAATTCATTAAAATCTGTATCTAATCCCAAAAAAGTTAATGTGGTAGGTAACATGGGAACTAATTTAAAATACTCCTGATAATATAAGCTATACGCATTAATCTGAAAAGATTTAAGAGATGACTGCTGAAGAAAAGGATATACATATTCGAGTGAATTTGCATCTGTATAATAAATAGCTAATGTTTTAAGGTTTGAACAGTGAGTTAATAGCCCATTTACAGTTTCTTCAGTTAATTTATCCAGATGCAAAACTTCTAAAGTTGATCCCCACATAGAAATTAAAGTGATTATAATGATACTTTGATCTAATCTCAAACCTGTAAATTCTAGTTTTTTTAAGTGCAATTTTTTCTTAGATAGTGAAGAGCAATGATCTAATGTGATCCCGTGACAAAAATTGCAACTTAATCTAACTAAGTTCTGGCATTCGGAAATATTTTCTATAATATCTGGTGAAATTTTTGAAAAATCTATATAGTGCAATATAAGCTCTTTTAAAGAATTCTCCACATATTTTAACGCTGAAAACATCTTAATATAATCTATGTCGTCAAAAGATTTGACAATAACGCTGGAATCACCAATAACAGCACTTGTCAACATTAAGGCAGTTGTTGCTTCAATCACTATTATAAAGAAGGAGTGTTAACGATTTCAAATTATTAAAAGAATTTAAAACTATTCATGGTTATTGTTATAAATACCTCTCTGAAATGTGATATAGGCAGTTTGTTTGTTATCACATTCATTCCTGTATAATTAATTGAAAAAAATAAATATAAATTCTGAAATATATAATTTAAGGCGTGCTTAAATTACAAAACTTACAACGTAAGCTCAATTTCATCGATTTTACCGCAGACCGAAAAAAAATCCCTAACTAATAAAAACAATAGGTAAATAAGAAATTGCACTTAAAAATAGTCTTTCATAATATGATTTCTTAACTTACCTGTTTTTTTACTCGCATGATTCGAAATATTATACACAATAACACTTCTACCTATGGTATAATTAAGTTCTATTTTTTCCAATTTGTTATAGGATTTTATAATATTTATGAGAGCATCACTTGCATCTTTGAGTAAATAAGGTTTAATTTTTGCGAGTAGCTTAGGATAGGGGCACGCATAAGCTGTCAATGCATTCATAAAACCTAGTATGTTTGTGTTGATGGAATTTAATTTAACCCGTAATGCTTTTAATTGTGATGTTCCTGGCATAACATTTAAAAGTGTTGTTACTGTCGGAAGCATAAGCTGATCATTGATTAATAATTCTTCAAGATTTTCACTTTTTCGAAGAAACATTGTAATCAAAGATTTCATAACAATATTATGAGCTAATGTCAACATTTCTTTATCATTATAACGATCAATAAATCCTTCATTTTTAAGCCACATATCTATTCTATTTTTGATTGAACTAGTATTAAGAATCTTTAAGAAAGCTCCATATTCAAATAACGGTTTTGGAAGATTAGGGAGTGTTATGCCAAGTGATATTAGTGGTTTCTTTTCTTCAGGAGATAATGTTGAAAGGTATGTTCGCACAAGTGATTTGGAAAATTCTTTTTGTAACGGGTTACCCCATAGTATTGGTACTGTGTTTAGACACCAAATACGATTAACAAGGCAGCATGAGAATAAACTTTTATTATCTTTTGCAAGATTAATGATAATTGCATGAATACACTCGTTCGGTATTTCTGTCATGATAACTGATAACGATAAGTGCTGTACGTTCCGTACGTACGGTATTTATACCTAAATGTGATCTGAAAATCTTATCCAAATATATATTAGCGTTGATTACGTAATCGCTGCAAATATGATGCATAGCATCAGGTGGTCACCAAACAGATATGTTATAAAGTTTAAAATTACCACGAAATGGCTGGATTCTATATGGTGTTGACCCTAACAATGGAGATTAATTAATAGTTCTAAAGGCAAAAACGCGGACCCCAAGTCCGCAGAAATCATGCAATATCGTGAAAAAAAATCTTTTTCCTAGGAACTGTATATTTTTTCCTAGGAACTGTATATTCACCAAAGCCCTCTGCCCAAAAGTTGCCTAAAACGTCGCCGAGAAACCGGAAAGAACCGCCAAATAATCGTATGATAGACTTTGGACAAATCGTAGAAAATTTGTCCGAAAGTGGTAAACAAAATTTCAAAAAAAAAAATCATGCAAGAACTATAAAAATCATGCAGAGACTGTCACCAAGCCACCAAGATCGTATGGAGAATAATCGCCGAAGAACCGCTCTTTGTGACGTATGACGTACGATAATTATTTCATACAATAAGAAGAAACGTTAATTATAAGACAACGAAAGCCCGTGAACAATTAGCAAAATGGGTAAATTGTAAATCAGATAACGTTAACTAAAAGCGGAAATTGTTAGTAATCTAGTGTAACGTGTGTGAAATGGCATTCAGATGTCAATTTTTCCATTATTGTTTTTTTTTTTGCGTTTGCGTGATCCTGTGGTGACCATATACCTCCTAGTTGCCTGCCGCATTCGATTCTAAATTGTGAAGTTGATTAAACTTCTACTTATCTGATTTATAAGTTTGCTCTCACGGTTTAGCTCGATTAGGTTCAGTGGCGGCGTATCAAGTACCCTAGCCATGGCGAAAACGAGGTGTCGGGACATGTGATTTCCGACGCACCGAATGATCACCAACCAATCAAAATATAGGATCTGGTGTAACGTGAAATTTTACGAAAACAACAAAGTTTTTTCAAAAATTGAAAATAACTCGAAATTTTGCTTATGAAATCACCTTCTAAGCTCTAATTAAAAAATTCCTTGTAAAATTTTACTATATAATACGTCTTTCCTAACCCTAAATATATCTTTATTCCCTTTATTTATGTATTGTCTTCGATTGTTTTGATTTTTAGATATCAGACCGGATGGTTCGGAAATCACATGACCCGACACCTCGTTTTCGTCATGGCTAGGGTTTTACGTTGACTTTCATAAACTTGAACGTTATGAAGTAATGATACAGTAGCGATAAAATTTTATTTTACTGTGTATAAAATTAATTATGTTACGAGCTTTGAATGAAAATAAATATACATAAAAAATTAGAATAATTCAAGTTATAAAACATAATACCCGGTGTGACACGATTTTTTACATAGTGAAAAATTAAAGATCACGCGAGTTACATAATTGTTTACATCACATGACATACATAAATAATATTTTAAAAAATTAATCTACATTATTTGTCATACGGTATATTTTAGTTTAGATATAATATAATAAACTGCAATTTAGAAATTTCGCCTTAAATCTTCTATTTTGATTGAAATGTCATCTTTTTTCATTAAATATTACTTTTTCTATTAATTTATACATGTTAAACTAGACAATTAATGTAGAGTTCATTCATAAATATTATTCAATTATTTGTTAAAATACTAACGTCAGTATACTCTAAGCGCTTTAAACAGCCCATCAAGAGTTTTTATTTTTGATATATTTTAAACACCAATCTATGAGTATCACTGCCGTATTTTACCAAATTTTAGTGCAGATTATCTGTTGCCTCCTATCTTTAGCAATGGTTTAATACAAATATACTATTGTTGATGGTATCAATTTGTTTATTCAAATTTTAACATTGTATATCCATAAATGCTACTCACAAATTTTTGAATATCCTATATTTTGCATCAATTATAATCTCTGATATTAAGTTGATTCATCTTCAGCAGTATTAAATTTATTCAGGATGTCTTCATCCTATTTTAGGAGTACTTATACACTTTGTAACAATCTCCTATCAGTAATGATATCTCTATTTATTTAAATTTACTCATCAATACTATAAAAAAAACAATTTTTTTTATTGACGAGACTTTAGTTTTTATTTAAAAAAGTTTTTACATCACTTAAGTAATAATAAGTAGAGATATGCGTAAGAATTTCGATTTCAAATGAGATCATAGGATCGTGTTGATACTCAAATATTACGATATTGATGCTTGAACAAATACTGTTATTATTATTACACTTAAAAATTATTGTTTTTACAAATTAAATTAAAGGTACGACCTAGATCAATTTCAATTTTTTTTTTGCTTCGTTTTCAGTATTTATTACAAAACTCAGCAAAAATAAAACGAACCCTTTTTTTATTTGCAGCAAGATTTTTAGCATAAGTAATAAAGTAATAATTCGTCGACTTCAGTAATGATTTTGGAGATCAATAATTATACGTAATGTAAAAGGGGTGAAGTATTTGTACAATTATTTTTTCAAGTCAATCAATAAAAAATTTCAGCTAAAAGCGCAACTTTATGAAAAAAAAGGGCGTCTGATCCAGTGCTGGAAATCAGTTTTTTATGTTCTCATGAGAACAAATTTATTAAATTTAATGTTTTCAGAAATATATTTATGTTAATAACATTAAATTTATTTATATCCCTATTTATAAATTTCAGAAAATATCGGTCATTATTCAAATTTTAATATTCATTCATTTCTTTTCGGATGATTTCGGATCATCGTCCGATTCCTAATTTTATTTCGAGTACCGTAAAGTATGGAAAATAAGCACAGCACCCTCTACCCTATGTTTTTTAGTTTCAGATTAGCGGAAATAGCAGACCTCCATTTCTTTATAATCGGATTGATAAGTACTCTAGATCGATTAAATTGTTTCCACTAATTAAAGTTTTGTCTCTGACGTATTAAACCATCACCGCATGTTTAATTCATTTGAATAATAAATACAATTAAACTATTTTTACTAATTAAAATATACTTCCCGAACCTCACCTCATCAAAATACCCTTGTTTTATTTATTAAAATAACACCAATAATTTATAGTAATGTTTTCAATGATAAAATTTTAAATTATTGTGATTTGTAAAAGGTTGCTCAAAGTTGTTTAGTTGGTTAACGTTATCATTTGGATGCTAACATGCTAACATGTGGGAGGCAAAATACATATATCAAGAATATTTAATTAAGGGTGTTCTCAAGCACTTCTATCAATAGACTCAACCAAGGATCTGATTAGTCTGTCGGATATACTAGCTATTATATTCGTTATCGAATTCATTAAGATAGGTACTTGAGAATGCCTTTACTAAAGATATATTTATGAAGGAATGATTTTACTGAAAGGTCACGGGCCATTCATTTAAGTTAATGTTTCTTGTTAATTATTTTTTTCTTTAAAACTAGTTAATTAATTAAAGAACCCTCATGCTGGTTCTATAGATTCTGTAATTATTCAAAGTGCATTTAAAATAATAAGTTTTAACGATTACGTAATAATATTATACAGTCAACCCTCTCTAAATGCATAGCATAGTAAAAATTTTTAAAACCATGCAATTAACGAGGTTAAGCAATTAGAGAGGTAAAAATCTATAAGTGTTATATTAAGTTAGGCCAAAAAAAAGACATGCATTTAGGGAGGTCTGACTGTAGTAAAATATCCAATAAATATAATATGATAGAAAAGGTTTTATTACGTAATTAACCAATGCAGGGACGATGACTTACTGCGATCACGGAAAACAGCGGAATATTTCTTACCGCATAATGTCAGCATAAATTTTAAAATATTGCAGTATTAATATTAATCGTAAATGCATGCAGAATTTGTCTTAACCACATGAAGAATTTAGTATTAACAACCGCAGAAAATTATTGTCTCTCTATATTACATCAGTAGGCTCTAATTCAGAACATAAGATTAAACTTTATAGGAATTTTTACTTATTGTGGGAAATTATGATATGAGTCACTAACTAATGCGGCATTCGAGTACTTGAACTCTAAATGAATTATGTTTATTACAGGAGAAAAACACCTCTTTAAATATTTATACATTACTTACAATGGAATTCCTTGAATTATATTTATCCCCAGAATTCTCATTATTCCCCATTCCACGAATGTCTAAATTCTGGAATTCTGGAATTCCAGAAATTACGTGCCACTGATTTTTCGTCGTAAATTTCTGGGTCGACCTTGCCTATTGCAATATACGTACGGTTTAAAAGGGCAGATTTGGGGTGATACTCGTAACCTAAAACACAACAAAAATCAAAGGCTACTCGAAAGAAGGCGTGGAAGATTTGATCCGAGAACCAAGGATCCTACTGCCACTAGTATCCCCGGTGTTTATTGTTAGATGATCTTTGTAATTATACTTCACTTCTCTTTCAGATACATGAAATTGATGGTTATCTATACATTACTGAGAGCTTTAGGGCTTTGCTATTACGATTAGAAATAGGACTATTTAGAGTATATGACTAACGATGAGTAATTCATACACAAATCCGAATTGACAGTTATTAAATTTCTTCGCTTTTGTGATCAATGCCCCAAGTCTTATGGCTTAGATTACGTTTTTTTGTTGTGAATGGGTCACGTTTAGGGATGTTTCGGTCCAACAAAGGTCGAGTTTATAACCGGTTTATAAACTGGTACAATCGGTCTTCGGTTCATAACTTTGAACCGGTCTAGAAATTGGTCTGTATAATAATAGTAATAATCTCATGCTATTTATTGTGACATTTCCAATTTAGCACGACACAAACAATAAATTAGGAATTGAACTGACTGTAATAATAATGGTCGGATTTCTTGGCAGAAAAATTGAAGCAGCCAATCAGAGAGCTTCAAATAGACCGTTTTGCAGTTCAAAGGCTAAACCGGTCTTTTTGGACATGGGCCGGACAGTAACATCCCTAGTCACATTACCTCTTCACAACGTATATCATCAACCATAGTTATAACCCTTTCACGGAAGTGAAACTCCGTTCCTGATATTCATTTCACTTCCATGAAGCTCCTTTCCTGGTATTCGTTTCACTCCGTGAAACTCCGTCCATAGTACAGAAAATCTCTATCGGTAAACTATATTAAAAAAATTCCGGTTGGATATGAAAGTAAACAATTATGTAACTTTAAGTAGCCTTAAGAGAAACAAAAAATTAATATTGTATGGCCTAATATATTATTATCAAAGTCTTTGTTATAATTTGTATACTTAATATAGTATTTTAAATATATACTTTATTTTTTGTGTACACCTTTAATAAATTTAGTTGTACACTTGTATGAATTTAAATACAAAGGTTTCATATATATGTCATATTAGAATTTAGGGGTCCTAACTTATGTACGTTCCTTGTTACCTATAAAAAACAGACTGCTCGATAACAATGAAAATCTAAAATAGTGGTACGTACGCATACTTAAATTTAGTGCTGGGACTTCCTAAATTATTAATTGATTGACCGAATTATTAACTAATAATATATGGCGCAGCTAATTAGTATAGGATATATAAAAAACGAAAAGTTGTGTCAATATTTTCTTAAAAATTACCGAGATATTGGCGGACTGAACTTTTACTAAATCCGTTGGCAGTTTATTTAACTCATCGTATCGATATTATTAGTGATGATTGAAATTATTAACTATTAATAATATTAATAACGCATTATCAATTAACTACAACTCAGAGGTCCATCACTACTTACATTTAAAGTAAAAATGAATAGTAATCACTCGCTTCATCATGAAACATCAACTAATTTGGACCCTTATGACCTCGGATACAACTATGAATATGGGATAGAGGTCGAAAAAGATGAATGCAAAGCGTTTATTTATTATAAACAGTCTGCTGATATGGGTAATGCTAAGGGAATATTTAAAGTTGGGCAATGTTATTATTATGGAATCGGTGTTGAAAAAAATGAAAGTAAAGCATTTATTCATTATCTAAAATCTGCTGAGATGGATGATGTTGATGGAATATATATGACTGCATATTGTTATGGAAATGGAATTGGAGTTGAAAAAGACAAAATTATGGCATTATTACTCTTTCCAAACAAATACATGAAACTTTTTTTAAAAATTTTTACTTTTTATATTTTTATCTTTTGTTATAACTATGGAACTATACCGCTTGTAATTTTTCTCTTTTGTGGAAAGTTTTTATATGGATATTGCGAATTTATACTTGGCTGCTGTTATTTGGATGGAATTGTATTTAAAAAGAATGAACATAAAGCATTCATTTGTTTTCGAAAGTCTGCAATTATACGTAATAAAAGAGGATTGTATTATGTTGGATATTGTTATTTTTATGGAATTGGAGTTGAAAAGGATGAACATAAGTATAAGGCTTTCAGTTATTATCAAAAATCTGCAGAAATGGGATATGCTGATGGAATATATATGGTTGGAAATTGTTATCACGATGGAATTGGAGTTGAAAAGAATGAACATAAAGCCTTCATTTATTATCAAAGGTCTGCAGGGATGGGAAACGCTAATGGAACATATATGGTTGGAGATTGTTATCAATATGGAATTGGAGTTAAAAAGGATGAACATAAGGCATTCAAAAATTATCAAAAATCTGCAAAGATGGATGATGCTGATGGAATATGTATGGTTGGAAATTGTTATCGAGATGGAATTGGAGTTGAAAAGGATGAACATGAGGCTTTCATTTATTATCAAAAATCTGCTGGAATGGATAATGCCGAAGGAACATTTAATGTTGGAAACTGTTATCGTTATGGAATTGGAGTTGAAGAAAATGAAATAGAAGCATTCAATCGTTATCAAAAATCTGCAGAGATGGGGTACACTACTGGAATGTTATTAGTCGCAGAATGTTATCGAAATGGAATTGGAATAACAAGAGATTTAGATAAAGCTAAATACTGGTATAAAAGGTAAATTTCGAACTTAAATTTGTTATATGTATTGTGACATAACAATCAAATAACAAGATCAAGTGTAATTAAAATCAAAAGCATTTAAATTTAAAGTCAAAGTTAAATAGTAATATCAGATTAGATTAGAAAATTTGGATTTTTAAATGTGTATTTTGATTATTTTTTTAGGGTAGTGTTAGGATTGATAATTAAAAAGTGCATATGAATTTTAACAGAGCTTATATTTTCCAATGAAGGCCCAAATTTCATCATCACCAATTTTAGCATCAGCTGCGATATTATTAATAAGAGAAATTTCGAACCATAACGATTTTTAGAAAAATTATGTTTACACCTGATCTTGGTATTTGATTGGTAGTTCTCTTCATTGCAACTAATTACAATACTTAGTAATTATATATCGGTATATATACTATGTGCATATTTAATAACTTTAAACATTTAAATCGCTGATTAGGAAAAAAGATATAACATTAGGTATTATAGCATAATTAACTACTGTATAAAATCTACTGTCATTAATTTATTTTATTTACTAAAAATTTATAAAGATTTAATAGCTACTAATGAGTGGAGACAAAATTCTGAAATTGAAGACGATTTGAAAGAAATAATGATTGAAAATAAATATCAATTATCTTGGATTTCCTATGACGAATTTAAATCTATTGAAGAAATAGGTAGAGGTGGATTTGCAACAGTATATTATGCTAGATGGATTGATAAAAGTCAACGCTTAAACAGACCTGTTGCGCTTAAATTACTTCATAAATCAAATAATTATCATGAAGAATTTATAAGAGAGGTAATATTTTTTATTTATATAATCCGTGATTTATCATTTATATTTATAATTTTTTTATTTATAATTTTTGAATGTATTATATTTCATTTTAAAATAAGTTAAGAGCGTATTGCGATATTGGTCTTAAAGATCCAACTTTTTTAAAATGTTTCGGTTTATCAAGAGATAAAGCTTCTAAAGATTATATTCTCGTCATGGATTATGCGGAGAAAGGCTGTTTGCGTAAAAATCTACGTACTATAGCAGAAATGGATTGGAAGAAAAAATTAAACCTGCTACAATGTATTACATCAGATCTTCAAATAATTCATTCTAATGACCTTATCCATCGTGATTTACATAGTGGAAATATATTACTTAATAGTTTTAAAAGCGCTTACATTGCAGATTTAGGTTATTCGACAACAGCTAACATTGCTTTAAAATCAAAACCTGGTAAAATTTGTGGAATTTTACCATATATTGCTCCTGAAGTTTTGAATAGCAAACAATATACTAAAGCGTCTGATATTTATTCATTTGGTATAATCTTATGGGAAATTTTATATGGTAAACCCGTACCTTTTGAGCAAATAACAAAATTTCAGTCTAAATTACAATTTCAACTACGAGTATGTGATGGTTTACGACCAATTATTTACGAAAATACAGCAAAATGCTATGCAGATTTAATGAAGAAATGTTGGAATATAGAACCAAATGAACGACCAACAGCAACAGAAATTTATGAAATTTTTGCAGAATGGCAGAATAATGAAAGAATTTTATATGAATTATCTGAATCTGATAAAAAATTACAGAATATAAAAAATGAAAATACTCAAGTGTATATTGATTCATATTATAAAAGTAGTTTTATTTCATCTAAAATTGATAATAAAGGTAATTATATATTTAGCTTTTTAATAAATTCTATATATTATGCTATATTATGCATTATTTATTAATTCCTTTTATAGATAGTCAAATATATGAATTAGAAATACCAGATACTATCGATTAATAGAGCAACTCCAAATCATAGATAGAACAATAAATGGTGTGATATGCAAATTTTCCAAATCTCTTTCACAGGTAATTGAAATTATATAGAAGGTATTTAGAAAGCACACCAAAGGTTTATTGAAAAATACTTGTTGATAAGATTTATTGTTCTACCTGTGAATTTTGGAACTTCAATATAGCATAAGATCAAGGTTGGGCTGGACATTGGACATGGACATTGGACAACCCTTGTCCAGTCCAGTCCAATCCATTGGACCAAAAAGTATTGGACATTGGACATTGTGTAATATACAAATCATGTGACAAATAGCCAATCAAAAATCTTCACATTATCACACCGAAGAAAGTCGTGATCACGTGATGAAGGTAATATTTATAAAAAGTTCGTTAATTTTAAGGTTAGCATTTATATTAGGGCTAGAAATTAGTGAAATATGTATAGTAAAATCGCCCAAGGAAAGCTTTTTGTTAGGCCATATTTTCACAAAAAGTTTTTTTATATTTTTTAAAATTATTGGACTGGACATATGTCTAAGTATTATGTCCAATGTCCAGTCCAATAGCATAAAAATGGTTGGACATATGTCCAGTGCCAACACTGCATAAGATAATACTGAAATATTATATATGGTTAATCACTTAAAATTTCAAAAAGAAAAAATTTACCGATTTTAAATTTTTTTTCCAAGATATTTCAAGCTTTTTCAGAACTTATAGTGAAGGTTTCTTGACAACCACTAAACCAAATTCAATATTCTTTTTTTTAGTTTAAGGTTTTACTAAATTTGATTGAATGGTTACTGTAGTTGTGACTATACTTGTGACATTTGTAACCAAAAATACTTTAGTGTAAATCTAATAAACAGTATTGGTAAAACTGCTGAATTAAAAAAAAAATACTATAAAAAACTCTTATTCACATTATTGACCTTGACCTTATTCATGCCTCAATTGAGAAATTTAAAATAGCAATAGAATTCTTGTTAAAATATCTTCTTACAAAAGACAAAATTTTGCCTAACTTTGAATGAAGCTATTATAATAATAATTATTTAGAATTCTTTAAATTATTCTATGATATTATAGAAATTTTTTTTAAAAAATAGTTTTATCAAGTTTGGTAAGAGAACTTTGAATTACATTTAGTACATTTAGTAGATCAGAAATTGTGATCACGTGTTAAAGGATAATAAAATTTCAAAACCTTAAATCAATAA